TGATGGCACCCAAGCCCATAACTCCGGGCAATCTGGGCAAGGGGGTGCATATAAATGTTAAATAGCATTGGGGACAACACTGCGCCCTGAGGCACCCCACAATCAAGGGGGTACCTACTGGATCGCCGGTCCCCGACAGCCACCCTTTGTCCCTGACCTTGTAGGAAAGAGGCAAACTATTGAAGGGCAAGCCCCTGAATCCCCACATTGGCGAGGCGGTGGGTCAGCAGCTGATGGTCGACCGTATCAGACGTGGCCAACAGATTTAACAGCAATGCCGCCACACCACCTCAATCCAGATGCCTTCGGAGATCGTCAGTCAGGACGACCAAAGCCGTCTCAGTCCCATGACCAGTGTTCCCTCTAAACTGAGTTAGTGTGAGCTAGCTCACAGTTTTTTAACCTCTAGCTCACAGATTTCTCAGCTCAGGAAGGATGGCTCCAGAGCAAACTAAGTTATGCAGCAGCCAAATGACTCGCTCACAGCTTTAACGCCAGTAGCTCACAAAGCAGAATTTTTGCTCACAAGACTCCACTGCTTAGAGGGAGCATTGCCCATGACCAGTGTTCCCTCTAAGCTGAGTTAGTGTGAGCTAGCTCACAGTTTTTTAGCCTCTGGCTCACACATTTTTGCCTTGGCTCAGGAAGGATGGCTCCAGAGCAAACTAATTTATGCAGTAGCCAAATCTCTCGCTCACCACTGTAATGCCACTAGCTCACAAAGTAGAATTTTTGCTCACAAGACTCCTCAGCTTAGAGGGAACATTGCCCATGACATGGGCGAAAACTGGACTAGAAGGGATCTAAGACTGAAGCGTCCTCCAGGAAGCTCTGTAACTGTAACGCCACCGCCCTATCAATAAGTTTGCCCAAATAGGGCAAATTGGACACCGGCCGATAGTTAGCCAATTTGGCTGGGTCCAAAGATGGTTGAAGCTGTTCTAATGGCTTCACGGGATTTAGAATGCCCAATGTATCACCCTCACCCCCACAATCTCCTTTAGAGTGCCTTCCCCGGCCCTCAAGGACCATAGCCTTCAAGACCAAGGTGGCAACTAGGGATTCATAAAGGGCCATCAAAATACTGACACTTCCCACTACGTTCAATTCACAAATGTTATGGATTGTGGGCAGTTGTCGCCTTCCACTTGGCAGCACGTTCTTGCTTACCTTTAAGGTGGTGTCTTTTAGTAGCTCTTTCAGCCCCTCTTTCTCCAATTGGACAGCATCCCACTTCTGCTTCCAGTCATCTCTCTCCAGGGTAAGGGATTTTCTCTCTTCTTCGCCCAGCTGAAGCCTCTCAGCCATTTCCAGTTTCTCCGTCTCTGTAGCCTCCAGCTTGGACTCCAGGGCCTTCAGAGAGCTAATGTCACTCTCACTCTGCTCTGCTCCCCCAGAGTGCTGTTCTTTCATCATTCGGAGAAGCTCTTCTTGTTCCTTCCGATTGTCTTGGAGCTCTTGGATCTTGCTGGACAGCTTGAATGGGTTAAAGAATCATTTAGAATCAATGCTTACTGGTACATGACCAAGGCCACTTTGCTATCCAGGTACTGCTTTATATCCCCCATCCCCTAACTTGTTCAGACCAGGCAAAATTTTAAAAGCAGCCATATGACTTTAACGGATCCATCTTGTCTAAATCTGTTTGTAAATTTGTTATTGTAATTTATTGTTTTTAAACTATGTGTTTACTGTTTTAACCTCGGCACATGGTGCCCTTGTTTGCTGCTCCGAGCCTTCGGGGTAGGGCGGGATATAAATTCAAATATAAATAAATAAATAAATAAATAAGTCTTCAGTGGTCTCTGGGAGACAGCAAGACCAGGAGAGAGAGGCCTTTTCCACTGTTGGGGGAATATACTAAAACAATTTGTATAAATCACACCAATGGAAAAAACACATTCTAGAATCTCCAGGGAAGGAGTTTCCAGCCCCTCTCATCTCTTCCTGTGCTTCCGTACTCTTTTGCAAAGGAGGCGTTTATGCAGTATGCTGAGTCCAGCCACAGACTGTATGCCATCTTGCTGGTATCTGGCGAGTGCTGCCCTATTAGACACACAAACAGAAATAAATTCTGGCTTACCACTAATTGAGTTGCTTGCATTCCTTCTTGGACTTGATCCCTCTCTACTTGGAGAGTATCTCGCTCATGTCTCAAATGATCTCTTTCCTCAATTAGAGACCTAACTGCTTCTTCATGGTTACAAAGTTCCTGAGCCATTACCATCTTGTTTGCTTCTATTCTGGACTCACTGGCTTTTAGTTGCTCTCCCATCTCACTCAGCTTCTGAAGAGCTTGGACAAGTTCTGCTTTCACACCCATGAGCTCTTCCTCTCGCACACCCTTTGCTTGCGCGTCTTGTAGGTGGCTGGCCAACTTCTTGGGGGAAAACAGGGCACAAGGTTAAGTAAACACTGTGTTGGACTGCAAGCTTGGATATTCTATTTTATGGTGAGGCTGTTACAAGATGTTTTAGCTCTCCATTTGAATTTGCTAGCCAAGCAGTAATCAGTTAGAAGAGCTGGTTTTTAATACACCACTACACCATGCTGACTCTGAATGGAAAAGGGGCATCCTACAGTACTGGGGAAGAGGACTTTCTTTTTTTTTTTTGGACCACTTATTTCACTTCCTCATCCAATACATGTGCATGCATGGGACACCACCTGCTTTTTAAAAAACCCTTGTGTAAAAGTTAATGAAGTTATAACTAAAGGTCCAGTCATGGTGGTCATGCTCTGAATTACTGCAGTGATTGCTGGTATTTCATTCCTTCCAAAATACACAAGAACAAGAATAATCCAGTTCACCACTGGCTCTTGTGAATAGCTGACCCTGACTTTAACTGATCCATCTACAAGTTTTGACATTTACCAACTGATGGCTTTCCTGGCTTAGATCCTTTTCCTCTTGCAGAGTTTCCAGCTGTTGCTGTAACTTAGTCTTCTCTTCTTCTAGACGGAGAATTTGTTCTCTCATTAAATGAACCTCATTTTCTTCTGGTAAAGCCTCTCTTGCACTTAACTGATTTTTCTCCAGGGTGGCTTGCTCCAAATCTTCTGTTAATTTTAGTATCTGTAAAAATAATAGATATTTTTGCACACTGAAACTTTTAATTTAATTTACCTGCCTCCAAAGTAGCAGCAGTTCCTCCTTCTCTGTAACCTCTGGTTGCATTATACCAAGATAGAAGGACAAATTCTGCATGTTATGTCCATGAATCTTTCCATTTTATCCCATGGTGCTAGATAGTCACAGAAACTTGGTTAGATCCTCAGATATGTGAACTTCCTCAAATGCATTTCTTCCTCCTGAAAAGTCTGTCTGCCTCCTTGTTCAATGGTTTACGCCGGCAGCTGCTGGTGGCCCTCAAGAGCTCAGTGCCAACGGAACATTCTTTATGCTTTGTGTAACAGACGTAGCAAGGATTTCCAAACACTGCCTATGTTGGGATTTAGTCCCAAGGGTACATAGGATCATTAATTTAGAGACAGAAGCTTTGATGTCTTAACATCTCTGTGGTGAAGTTCTCTCCCAGAAATTTCAGATCACAGTAGACTGGCTTATAATGCCACTGAAGGAGAAGCTTGATTTCAGAGAAGATTGAAGTGGAAACCAGCCTGAGTCACAGACAAGGCTTTTTCAGTTGTGGCACCTCACTTTTGGAACAGCCTTGAGGCCTACCTTATACCTACTGTACTGTTTACGTACCAGGCAAAAACATTTTACTCAGGTTTTTAAATGAAGGGTTCCACCTGTTGAATGGTTGTTTTTGTGACCTGTTTTTACTTTGGGAGTGGGCCTATGTAGTAGCAGCATATATGTTTTCTGAACAAGTGAAATTGTTAGACTATTCTTTTTCCCCAATAACAATTATAGTAAAGGTAAAGGTTCCCTTGCTCGAAAGCCAGTCGAATCCGACTCTAGGGTTGGTCTTCAGCAACTTGCTGCAGAAAAGTTTGGACGACTTAGTGGCAGTAGCACAGAACATAGCTAACATTCGCTTGAAGGTCTGCTGTACCAGTGCTAAGAACTCACTGACTCAATGAGAGACTTACTAAATGGGAGTATCATCAGTATCTTACCTGTAGCTTCTGTTCATTAATGGTAGTCTCCAGAGCTTCTTTAATACTTGCAGTCTGGGATTCTTTCTTCAAAAGTGTTGCCTGCAGCTCTTTGATATCTTTTTGACACTGCTTCAGAGAATGCTGAGAACTTCTCAGTTCATTCTGTGCTTCAATGTTCTTTCACATGCAGAAGTTAGAACACACATATGAGTTTATGTGACATACAAGGTTTCTTGCAATGCTGCTACAAATCTGCCTGGCTGCAAACTGGTGCACCCCCACCCCCACTTTATGCCTTCTGGTTCACTTACCATGGCCACCGTTTCTTCTATGTCATCTTTAATTTGATCTCTCTCTCTTTGAACCTCCTCCAGCATTTGCTTCAGCTCATCTCTTCCCTGGGCCAGAGCACTGATTTCTTCTTCTCTGCTCTGAAGTCGCTGAACTATGGCCAGCCTTTCCACCTCCACAGCCTCCACTTTCGACTCCCAAGCCTTCAACTGTTCTTTGAGCTGCTCCAAGTTGTTCAGCTCCTGGCGGACATGGCTGAGCTCTTCTTCCATACACAGAAGCTTCTCCTGTTCCAGGTCCTTTGCTTGCAGCTCCTGGACCTTGCTGGACAGCTTGAAACATTCAGCAAGGGCAACACACACTTAGCCGTAAACTGAGTTACTAGACGACTTATCCATGCTTTAGAGTTTTAACACGGACCAACATGGCTACCCACAATCTATCAGACACACACTTCAAAACATTGCCTCCCCTCCCTGAGAGGCAATGCGCCATTGAGAGTTGCAACCAACTCATGGCAACCCCATCCACGGGGCATCCCAGGTCAGAGGTCAGCCGAGGTGGCTTGCCATTGCCGTCCTCTGCATAGAAGCCCGTCTTCCTTGGTAGTCTCCCATCTAAGCACCAATTCTGCTTAGCTTCCAAGGTTTGATGATACTGAGCTAGTCTGGGCTATTAGGGATGCCACAAAGGGCAATGCAGTTTGCAGTACTGCTTCTTAAAAGCCTTCCCCAAGAAAGTCTCCCAAGGGGCTTCACACCAAGAGTTACTGTATTAAAAGCAGTCAGGAAAAAACAAACAAACAAAAATAACCAACGGGAGAGAGATAGACTCACCTCTTCTGCCATCTCATTAATGGCTGTGTTGAATTTGAGGTTATCACCAGATAAGCTTTCTAACTGGTCTTGCATTCGTTTGTTTTCTTCTGATACAGTGGCTAGTTCCTGCCTCAGTTCTTGACAAAGATGTTTCAGCTTCTTAACAGCTTCATCATTCTCTCTCACTGCTTCAGCATTTGCAAGATCTTCTTTGGATTTCAGGGTGTTGGTCATTTCAATGAGCCTTTGGTCCTTCTCAGCTACTTGAGACAACAAGATCTCCCTTTCAGAGGCTAGGGAAGTGATCATCTCAGATTTTTCAAGAATCTGTTAGTGGAACAAACATGCATTTTAAAAAGCAATTTGCTTCTCAACCAACCGTTTAACATGCATTCTAAACTGGGTGATGAAATGGGGCAAAAGTTACATTTAGCCTTTTAAATTCAGCTTGTGTGTCTACGCTGGAAGTGGAAGCCTGGATACCCTTTGCAAGTACACACACATCCCATCTTTCTCCAAGAGCTTAGAACAAAACTTTAGAAGGCATTAATATTTTTAATACTCAAAATGGTGCTTTAAGGCAGGCCAAGTAGAGAGATGGTGATGGGCCCATTGAGTTTTCATGGCCAAAGAAGGATTTGAACACAGATCTCTTTTGTCCAAGTCCCCCCACATCAATCACTATTGGTTTTACTTCTTCATGCTGCCCATCCTGAAAGCAAGCCTTTCTTTCTCGTAGCACTTGACTTGGTTTTCAAAAGGTAGGAGCACCCAAATCCCCTCTGCCCAATAAATATCTCATTCTCCTTTTCTTCCCTAAAAAAAAAGTTGCAATAAAGCAATATTCTAGAAATTATTGAAGAATGCACGTTCTCTTAAATGACTAGGGGGCAACTGTTTGCATTTCCTGTAGTATTTACTACAACAGGTGTGTGCTAGAGCTAAGAACATTAACACAGCAGAAAAAGTGTTTTCATAAAGTGCACACTTAACTACAGAAACCCCCATCATGGGAAACCAGCGTTATCACTCCCGTGTTAGTTGTATGTTATTTTTTTTACCTCCTTGTGCAAGATTTCGAGGTCAGATTTCAGGCAACCTTCTGACAGTGCAGCAACTTCTTTTCTTAAAGAAATGTTCTCTCCTAGAGCTTTATCCAATTCGTTTTTTAACTGCAGTACTTTTTCATCCAGCTCCACAAGTGACTGGTTGCCTATATAAAAAATACTTCAATAGATAAGGATGTCCAAAGAGATGCATAAAATCTTTGAATTAACATGACCAATTGCTCCTAGTCCATTTTAAAAAATCCTTGTTCTACATAGCTATTGTCATGAGACAGTGTTCTAAACCAGGCACCCTTTCTTCTTGGCTATGTGGCTCAGTTGCCAACAAGGCAGCCACCTCAAAGGCACTCCCCCCCCAACATCCTTCATTTCTGCCACTTGCAAAGGCCCCCTGTCCTATATATATAATTGCTCTAATGTGTTGGCCATTTCCATCTCTCCCATTGGCTGGGCTATGTGGTCCATCAGCCATTGGTCCATCAACCACCACTCAAGAGTACTCATGTGCCATTGGCCGGGTACTGAGTTTGCTCCTCTCCCCCGCCCACTGCCAGCCTGGACACTCTTCCCTCAAAGAATAAACTGCCCAAACAGCTCTTTCTCCTGACAAAGACTCTTCTCCTGCTTGGCTCATGTGGGACTAACTTTTCCCTCAGTGGCTGTTGCTAGGCAACCAAGCTTGGTTCTGTCAATAAAAAGGCAAAGGCAGGAGGCCCTTTCCAGGTCTTTGAGGAGAATGCATTGGGGCCAGTCCTGACTAGGGTTGTCAGCTCCAGATTGGGAAATTCCTAGATATTTTGTGGTGGAGACTATGGAAGTCAGAGTGTGGGGAGGGAAGAGGCCTCAGCTGAATAGAATGCCATAGAGCCCACCCACCAAAGCAGTTATTTTCTCCAGCGGGGTGGGGGAGGGGGAGAGGAGATCTGTTGTCTGGAATTCAGTTGTGATATCTGGTGATCTTCAGGCTCCACCAGAAGGTTGGCAACCCTAGGCGTAGCAGTTAGTGCTTCAGAGCAGGGACCTTCCAGACCCAGGTTCTTGCTGTGGTAGTTGAGTGGGTGATTTTGGACCAGTCAGACTTTCAGCTTAACCTACCTCACAGGGTTGTTGTGCAGATCAAAAGGGGGAGAGGAGAATGATGTAAGCTGCTTTGGTCTCCACTGCGGAGAAAGATGGTACTTTTGTCCTGGGGAACCATTGCTGCCAATCTCCAGGTAAGGGCTGGAAATCACTCAGAATTAAAACTGCTCTCCAGATGGCAGAGATCAGTTCCCCTGGAGAAAACAGCTGCTTTGCAGGGTGGACTCTAGGTCTTTATATCCTGCTGAGATCGCTTCTCCTACTACTTGGGTCCCCACTGAGAAGGAGAAAGACTGTACTTTTCCTAGGTAGAGGCTCCAGGTATGTGTGTGGAGAGATGGAAAGCTGAAGTCAGAGGGGCAGATAAAGGTAGGTTGATGGTTGACTGGGAAGGAGATAGGATTGCCACCTCCAGTTTGGGTAATTCCTGGAGATTTGAGGGGTGGAGCCTGGAGAGGGTGGGGTTTGAGGAGGGGTGGGTCCTCAGACAGCTATGCCATAGACTCTACCCTCCAAACCAGCCACTTCCTCCTGGGAAATCATTGTTGCCAATCTCCAGGGGAGATTGTTCCCAATCATTGTTGTCAATCTCCAGTTCCCCTGGAGAAAACGGTAAGCTCTGTGTCATTACACCCAGCTGAGGTCACCACAGCAAATTGATGCTGAGTGCCCAAGGCCAGGGGACCCGCCCAGTCTCTTTCCAGAGCTCGTTGTATTTATTTCCAAAATGGGACTTATTCCTAGGATACTCATAAACCCACTTATCTTCCTCCTTTAGTACCTGATACTACACAGATTTGCTGTAAAGTTTATTGCTTTCTTTTAGGATGTTTGGCTTAGTAAAGCTCCTCCCCCTTCAAAATGTCCAGTAGTTGAATACTTTCAAGAGGAACATGCAGGGAGATGGGAGGAAGAGAAAAATGCAAGCCATCAACCCCAGGCCCCTCCAAGGTCACATTAAGATCATGTTCTTTTGGTTGTCATGTGGATGAGCTTGACGACAGTTAATCCTCTGTGGGTTTCTGGCCTTTTATCTGATATTGGTTGTCAGGCAGCCATCCGCTGGCTGTTCCACCACTGCAGCCCTTTGTTGTTTATTGTCCTCTTAGCTCCTGATCCCTTATGACTTTCAGGAGAATCTGCCTCATTTGTTGTAAAAATTTTACCATAATCTGCTTTGGTAGGTTCTCTGAAAGACTGGATACATTTTTGAAAAATAACATGGATTACGTGCGCTTGTGAGCCTGGAGCTCCTGACCACAGAGACTGACCCCCCAAAGTCTGAATAGTTCATGGCCCTAGCTGTGCATCTTTCTGCAGCATCTTTGCATTGGTTGGTGAATGGCTGAATGACCTAGACAACCTGGATACACAGACTCTACTAGAGCAGGTAATTCTGAGGAACCATGCTGGCTGGAAACACTGGCTCTTTAGCAGCATGCAGGATGGGGACAGAAGAAACTGTTCTTGTCTACTCCTTTTGGGGAGTAGTGCGCCTAGTTTTAGATCTGGGAGAGGTAATATTTTGCAATCAGCTGTTATGAACATGACACAGCAAGTATTTGCAAGATATCCTTGCAGATGCTACCTTCTGGAACTTTACCCTCCAGGAGAGAAGTCAGCTTTGTATTTTCTTGCAAGTAATATTGCAGTTCTTTCTGCAAGTCAGATTGCATGTTTTTGTACATGACTTTGCCTGCTTCTAACTGGCTCCTGTAACACTCAGTATCTTTCTTCATGCGGTTGTAATCATCCAAAAGTTGGTCCTACATGGGAACAAATTAGAATTCCATTACTCCATGCATTTATATTCTGGAACAATACTTAGACCCCACAGCGCTTGTTGATGTCACAGGTACTTTCATAATTTTGAGACAAGGTAGTCAGGGCTACAGCAAAATGGGGGCCACAAGGACTGAGCCAATCACAAAACATTGGGAGAGGGACACTCTGCTTGGAACCTGCAACAGAGACAGACCACTGCTTCTGAAATGGGTGATCGCTGCAAGTGAAACATGATGCCTTGTGGGCTTTGAGAAGCATCTTCTACATTGAGGCAGTAAACACAGTGGTGGAAACTAGTCAGAGGGTCAAAAATACTGATTTTACTGATCAAAAATCCAAAAAAACTGACCAAATACTGACAAATTACTGAACAATTTAATGCCAGCCTACGGATAAGCTAGCATTTTAAATGTAAAACTAGGACTTCATTAAAAATGATAATTTTCCACCATCCCCATAGCCAGCTCCATAATTAGATGTGACCCAGATAAAAGAACTGCACTCCTTTTTATTGATTTTTTTAAAATAGAGGACAATGTTTTCATAATGGTACAAAATTTAAGGCAAAAAAGATTCCCTTTTAAAAATAATCACATACTGAAGATAATAAAACAGCAAAACAGCAAGAACATATTAAAAACCAAACATAAAGTAATAATTATGACAACAAAATGATTTCTGTAGTGTAAGACTTGTCTTTGCTTTTACTTTATCTTTGGTTTTTTGATGAAAAAAGAACTGGCCAGCAGCCTGCCATCCCTGGCGGAGGACGTGTTGGGCTGGGCACTGGAACACCCTAGACTGATTGTCCTGTGTGATTTCAATGTCCATGAGGATAATGTGGCCTCCACTCAGGCAATGGACCTAGTGTCATCCATGGTGGCGTTAGGACTCGCCCAATATGTAACGACTCCCACTCACCAGGCTGGACACACGTTCGATCTGATCTTTGTAGCAGGGGTCACAGTGGACCGGGTCACTGCCTCAGCAGTGCCATGGTTAGACCATCATGCCCTGAAGGCCCATCTGAATGCTTCACCCTGACCCTGTTTGGGCAAAGAGCAGATTTCAGCTCGCCCGCGGAGCCAAATGGACCCTATGTGGTTTCAAATGATTCTACTGGATCCGATGCCCCCTGGTGGCTTGTTAGATGAGCCTGTGGAGAATTGGCACAGCTGACTCTCGGCAGCCATCAATGAGATCGCTCCCCGATGCCCTCTGTGCCCTCATTCTCTGCTGGCTCCTTGGTTTACCCAGGAGTTGCGGCTGATGAAGCGAAGGCTAAGATGGCTAGAGAGACAGTAGCGGCGCACCTGCGACGAAGCTACAAGAACATCTTATTGGAGCTTTATGAGATCCTATGAGATGGCAAGTCAAAGCCGCTGAGAGTATCATGCAGCCACGATTGCGTCTGCGACCTCATGCCCAGGCCAATTATTTAGAATAATTTGGTCTATGACTGTTCTGCCACAAGGCAGACCAAATGTTAGGGAATTGGGACACTGGCTGTGAGGCCTTCGCGAGCTACTTTGCAGATTAAGTCCTGTCGCTCCGCCGTGACCTCCCCACCACAGTTGAGACAATAAGTGAACTCGAGACTCCATGCACGTCTTCTAGTCAGGTTATGGATTATTTCAGTCCATGCAACCTGGAAGAAGTTCACAAACTGCTCTTAACTGTACGCCCTACCACGTGCTGCCTTGACCCGTGCCCATCACAGCTAATTAAAGCTGGCTGTGATGGGTTTCTAGATGCCCTAAGGGAGATTATCAACAAGTCCCTCTCAGAGGGACAGTTCCCTAAGGCACTCAAGGAAGTTGTGGTTCGTCCCCTCCTTTAATAGCCATCTCTGGAGCTGGTCAAATTGGCTAATTACCAGCTGGTCTCCAATCTGCCCTATTTGGGCAAGATACTTGAGAGGGCCATGGCAATTCAGCTACAGAGCTTTTTAGATGACACTTCCATTCTAGGTCCTTTCCAGTCCAATTTCCGCTCAGGCCACGGGACGGAGATGGCACTGGTCACCCTCACAGATAACCTCCGGAGGCATCTGGATCGGGGCAGATTGTCAGTGATGTTGCTGTCGGACCAGTCGGCAGCATTCGACACGATCGACCATCAGTTACTGATCCACCGCCTCGCTGACACTGGAGTTCAGGGGCCTGCATTGCAATGGCTGGCTTCCTTTCTTCAGGGTCAGGGACAAAGGGTGGCGCTAGGGGAGCAGCTATCCCGAAGGCACCCACTGATTTGTGGAGTGTCCCAAGGGGTGGTGCTGTCCCCAATGTTATTATTTATTTACTATTTATTTTATCACACTTGTATCCCACCCTCCCCGCAAGCAGGCTCAGGGCGGCTAACAGTATTTGGTACAATGCACCAAAGTAATAAAACAGTTAAAACAATCAAAGCAGTTAAATAATTTACAATTAAATAATTTACAGTTAAAATACAGTTTTAAATCACAGTTTATTTAACATCTACATGCGCCCCCCTTGCCCAGATTGCCTGGAGGCATGGGTTGGGATGTCACCCAGCTCTATCTGTTGTTGGGTGGCCAGTCTGACTCTACACTGGAAGATCTGGACCGCGCATTGCAAGCCATGGCTGGTTGGCTCACACTGAGCCAACTGAAATTTAACCAACCAAGACGGAGGTCCTGTGCCTGGACCAGGGTGGCCCAAGGGTAGGGATCCTACTTCCGACCTTCAATGGGGCACCACTGGTACCAGCTCTGGAGGTTAGGAGCTTGGAGTGCTCCTGGATGCCTCAGTAACAATGGAGGCCCAGGAAGCAGCCACTGCCAAATCAGCTTTTTAACACTTCTGGCTGATTAGGCAGTTGGTTTCCTTCCTCGAATGCAATGACTTGAAGACAGTGATCCATGCAATGGTCACCTCGAGATTGGACTACTGTAATGCTCTCTACATGGGTCTGCCCTTGACCCAAATCCAGAAGCTACAGCTAGTGTAAAATGCCGCAGCCAGGCTTCTGATGGGCCTCCCTATGAGGAACGTATCCAGCCTGTGCTATCAATAGCATACCTAATTCGCTTCAAGGTGCTGGTACTTACCTTTAAAGCCCTTTATGGTCAGGGGCCCACATACCTGAGGGAACGCCTTTGCCCACACGTTCCCCAGAGAGCACTGTGCTCAGGGTCACAAAATCGATTGGCGTCCCAGGTCCTAAAGATGCCAGGCTGGCCACAACCAGGGCCTTCTCAGTGGTACTGGTGGAATGAGCTCACAGAAGAGATCCGGGCCCTTGGGACCTTTTACAGTTCCGCAGGGCCTGCAAGATGGAGATCTTCCACCAGGCCTTTGACTAAGTAGCTGCACCAAATAACATCAAATAACTGACAGTGCCCTGGTCCTTGGCTTACCACCAACAGCCTGTGCTGTCGCCTAAATAGAGACCAAGATGAGCCAACCACCAATATAGATAATCTGATTACAATACTAGTATCGGTTCCGCCTTCTGTAAGCATTGTTATAAGTACCTGATCTTTATGATAATGTAGAGTTTTATTATTTAAGATTGTATATAATTTGTTACCTATATGTTTAATCTCTTTGTAAGGGGGGGTAGGGTATAAATGGAATAAATAAAGTTATTCACGAAGCCTTTTGTTTCTCAACAGTTTTCTGCACTACATCCACAAGCATTTTTTCCATTGCTTTCTCAACTCCTTCTAGCATGAGCTGTGCCATGTTGAATCCCACAATATCCATCACCTATACTTTCATTGTCTCATGTTTTAAGAGGTTAATTATGTTTCTATACTTTGTGGAAGAATTCACCTTATCACTTTTACTCTTTACCTTAAGGTACCATCATAACTAAACTGAAAACAATTTGTCTTCTCACTGGGAAGTCATCAAGTTTCCCCCAAAATGCAGTAATGAAAACAGAAAAACACAAACTGCATTCCCAAAAATCAAAGAAATACTGACTTTACTGACCAATTTTTTAAAAAACTGACAAATTACTGACCAAGATGAAAAAGCTTTTACTGATTTTACTGACCATTTTCCACCCTTGTAAACATAAGCAGAAGTCAGCTCCTTACTCTAGAGAAAAAGACATAGTCTGATTTCATTTTCCAACGAAAAGGGAGGGTTTGCATCTTTTGCAGCCATAGGGAGAGGTTTGCCAGGCCCAAAGGCATAAGAAAAGATATCTGCAGCCAAGCTGAGGATGCACCTGCCCAGCTAGTCAGCCAGCCAGGTGGTTGAGAGCAACCATTCAAGATCCTTTGGCTTTTATTCCCAAGAATAAAGCAGTGACAGTCATGGAACCCATGGTACTTCCACGTGCCATGGTGAGGATCACTTGCTTAGACCAATGGCTGCCACCCTGTAGCCCGAATTTATTACAAGAGCTCCACAAATCCATCCAGCTTGGGCAGGCTTCCACGTTCCTGAACCTGTGCCTTCCATGGTGGCCATGCCCCCCCTCCCCCCTTCTGTGTCAGGCCAAGTGCTCACTGGACTTTACCTACCAACTGGCTTGCTACAGCATGGCCATGCCACCCTCACTGGGTCTGCCTGCTTTAACACCCCATCCAGGCATTGGGCTGCTTGCCTACTCACGAGTAGCACCACTCCTCATAAGAGGCTTGATGGGGCATATTAGCTCCCTTCACCCACCACCTCCCACCTCCAGTGACAGCTGGAAATGCCCAAGGAGGAGTGGGCTGCAGACCTTTAGGAGCTGCTGTTTGGCTGACTGCTTCCTTGTGTGCCCAACAGTTGGCTCCCTTGGCCCCTCCCACATCTATGCCAGCCTAAGAAGGTCCAGACTGCATCAGACAGCAGCCAGGGCCCAGGAGCATCACTGAGACATGGTGTCTCCCTCACCAGCTGCAGAAAATACCTGTAGCTCAAGTCATGTGCCCAGTGATCTGACAGCATAATCTGGAGATGAGGTCCCAACCCCTCCAACTTCCAATGTCTACTGCTTTGTCTAGCATTTCCCTTCA